CCGTGCGATCGGCGGAGGCGGCGACGGCAGCCGAGAGGGCGGCGCCCGCCGCGAAATTTTTCGCGGCGAGGAAGAGAACGCCTCCGTCGCCTTTCCGACGCCGCCGCGCCCGCCTTCGGGCGAGAGCGACCCGCCGACCTCGGCAGCCGAACGCGATCGAGCGGCGCCTGGCTGGGCTCTCCCTCGTGGCCGAGCGTTCGGAGTCCGGCCGAAGACCCGGTGGGTCTCTTCCGATGTGAGCGGTGGTGGTGGCGGTGGCCGCGTGAAAGCTGGCACCAGCTTCGCCGCCCAAAGCAACACAAGCAGCCCATCACGGGACAGGGTGAAGCGGCCGAAAGCCAGCCGGCCGGAGGCGACGATCTGCGGTGGGTCGGCGGAGGGAGTGCGCGCGGAGACGGGTGGGTGAATGGCGGGGGGGTAGGGAGGGGCGTTGAGGCGACAAGGCCACCGTATTCCACACAAGATGACACCCTCCGTGCTAACGGTTTTGGCGTAAGATGTGGATAGCCTTGAAAAGAAACAGAATTGAAAACAGCACGTTCGCCGCATGACGACACGGCCGGTCATATGGAGCTCATCGGAATAGCGCAGCTCATCACGGGTAAACTCCTACCAAACTCCCAGACACAAAGCTTTGTCACCTCCGCTGCCCTTGCGGCGCCCTCCATCCCCGCCTCCGCACTCAACGAGAGCTTCCCGAGGTGAATCGGCAGGCACTTGCGCTTCACCCCAACGCCCGCCGTTCCCAATCCGCCCTTCCACGAAGCCCCTGATAACGCTCGCAACCGCTCAGCAGCATCGCTATCCGGAGACGAAGACATCGACACCCCCCCTTGCGACTGAGAAGTTGAGGAAGAACGCGAGTGGCCTCCACCCCCGACATCGTCGTCTTGGCCCCCGCAGGCGGTACCTCCGCCGCCGGCCAACAGAGCAACGCTCGACCATTTTACTGCCACGCTTACCTGCACCCGCGCATATGAGACGGGGGAGAGGGTTGGTACAACAGAGGGGGACACGCGGACGGGGGAGCGATAATGTAGCGTCGAGCGCGTGCATAGTGGAAGGGAGCGGGTGTTCTTCCTGAAAGGGCTTCTCGAGGAATGTTTTCACGCGTCGGGCGGTAAAAAACGACGTGACCCTCGTCATCGGGGGGGGCAGACGCCGCTACAACGGGTGGAGATTTTCTGACGCGCCAAAACGCGGATCGCTCGTCAAGATCTACCAGCAACGACCCAAAGCATCCCCCACGACCCTGCCAACAAAAAACATGAAGTGTTCATCTTAGTATGTGTGTGTTCGTCCCCCTCTATTCTGGTGCCGGTTTACAGGCATTTCGGCATGTATACCTGTGCACAATGAAAAGCGCAGTGCACCGTACGAGGAATACCAGAAAAAACAACCACATGCCCAGAGGTTGTAGTAGTTCACCCCCCTACCCCTGACCAATGCTTACCGTTCTCGTGCCCACAGCGCGATTGTCGTCGCTGTCCACCCCCGCGCTGTCCACCCCCACACGGAGCCCCTTCACCTCCGCGACGACGCTAGGAGCATCCGCCTTTCGCCGCTGCAGACAGCCCTTCTGTCGCTGCGCGTGGGCATCATCGTCCCGGCCACGATCTCCGACTGGTAATCCCACCGGCTCGCGCGGCCGTGACAACAACCCAGAGTCCCCCTCTTCGTCGCTCGCGCCGAGTTCCTGTCCGCCGAGCCCCCCTACCGGCTCGGGAACAAGGCCGTCACGCCCCTCCTCCTCCCCACCGTCTCCAGCGCCGACACAACGTGCTTCCTCGTCCCCGACCACCTCTACACGCAACCCCTCCAACGAAGCCTCCAACGACAACGTCGGCGACAGGAACGACCAAGGCGGCGAAACTTCTTCGTCCGCTGCGGTTCCGACGCCACCCCCGGCGGCATTTCTCTCCTCACCGGCGTCACCCCCGGCGTCACGGCCCGTCCCGGGGCGCCCGAACCCGTCTCCGCCGGGAGGATCAGCAGCGCCGCAACTTTTCCGCTCGGGTGCAACAAAAATGCCTCTCCACGAGTCGAAGGCCCTCATGTCCCCCTCGCGGATAACGCCTCGCAGCGAGGTGGAGACGACGCGCACGGCTGACACCAGACGGCAGCTGAAGCCCGCGTCGAATTTTTCACGACAGCGAAGAGAATTCGCCGAGGAGGCGGAAAAACGGACGCCGGAAAGACTTTGTACTTCATGGGTGCACAGCAGTGTTAGAGGTCACCTGATGACAAACACCCCGCGTGGGAACACTGCTCGGTACAAAAAAACGCATCGCCAATCACCCGCATCGTCGTTTACACGTCATTTAGAGTACGAGGCACAGCAGTCTCGCAGTCTGCAGGAAGTTGCATTTCCACCGTGCTCTGCGCATCGAAGCGCGGCCAAGCCGAGCCGATGTACACCACGTTGTAATCCAAACGCTGCACCCCCCCAAAAATATCACGATGGTGTATGCATTCTCGGATGCTCATCCAGCGCCAGCGAGGCAACGCATGCTGCAGCACGGTGTCAAAACATCGTAGATAGGTTGCAAAAATACCGATTTTCGAAGCCAGATTACTCCACGACGAAGAGGATGCTAAAATCGAACATGTGTTTTCCGAAAGCTCATGACGACATGGTTCCAATGCCGCCATGTTTTCGGCACCATGGTACTTCTTGTGCTGCAGAGTAATTGCTTATTGAAGATCGGTCCTGGGGGTGGGTCACCGTACGTAAGCCAGGACAGTTAACTCGGCACGCAGCAGCGGATCCCCCTACTACATGGTGTCTCAACTACAGCTGTACTGTTAGCGCGCGCGCACTTTACAACTTGTCAGTTAAGGAATTAAAATAGCCTCGAAACACTCAAAATAAGAAGAAATTGAGCTCCATTTATGAGCTCGGTTCAAGAACCCCACCACTAAAAGGTACATAGCGGCCATTTGTAGCTCACGAGAGGAAAAAAGAATGCGAAGGTGTATGCATACCGATTCTGGTAAAAGTCAATCGACGGATACCCTGCGAATCGGATCCTCCTTAACAAGAAACCCAGGCTCGACCAAAACTAGAGGTTATCGAAAGTGAGGACGCTAAGTGCAATTCACGTACCCGATGCCGCGACGGTCTCCTCGTATTGGAGCATGAACCAGGTCGACCTCCAGGGTTACATCACCGTCGACAGTTACACCGTCAGTGGTGCCGAGGGAAGTGGAGAGGATCGGATGCTCGGGATCCTTGCAAAAAAAAACAGAAGATATTGTTTGCATTTTTTGGAGAGAAATCAGAGGGCAATAACGGGGAGAGCGGGAGAGAAAGAGAGGAAGGACTACAGAGAGAGAGGGGGGAGGGGAGGGAGAGCCGTTAAGATATGAGTAGTCAGGCGTATGTCGTTCTTGCAGGCAGCCTGTGATACACCCCTGGGACCAAGGATATCTCAAAAGGCCAGGGCAGCAGCGCAACGAGCTAGGGTGCTTGTCGAGAGGAGGGAAACAGAGTAGCTGCTTCCTGGACAATGGTTATGTTGCACAGTGAGGCCTGCACTCCAAGAGGCGGTACTTTTCAACCAGAGACAGAGTCCCGATCGCCACATGGAAAACAGGCTGGGTTCTTCTTTTCCCAAGCTGCCAGCTGAGGGACACGACTACCTATGTAACACCAACTATACAATCGCCATTTACGAAACAACACGTATGTGCACATTGCGAACAGAGAGTATCGAAGCCACGCACCTGTTCTATCCGGACCGCAAGCTTGGTCCCCCCTCCGCCCCGCTCCAGCGGCTTCGCAAACGCCTCCACACACGACACGAACACCTCCGTCGATACAAACACACACCCGTCCGCCCTGCTGCGTACCCCCCGCCCCGTGCGACAGTCGGCCACCCCCGCCGAACTTCCTCGGTAGTCCAGCACCACCCTGATCCCAAACACGGTAACGCCGCACTGGCTGAGAACCCAAGTCGCCAGGTTCTCCCACAAGAGCGACGTGAGCAGGGTCTTGAGCTCCGAGGCAGCCGGGGACGAGGCCGAGGCGGGCGTGGGGCCAGTGGGTCGAGCTTCGGCCTTCCCGACGGCGGCTGCTGCTTCGGGTGGGTGGGTGGAACACGAGGCAGTGCATCGGGGCAACACGGACGGCGAAGTGTAAAAAAGGCGGGAGCGCCCGACACTGGCAAAAAAGACGGTGCGCCCAAGATCTTGACGAGAACGGGGACAAGCTCAACATGGCATCGCAGCGCACAAAACTCTTGCAGGCCTTTCGACGAGCAGCCATGTATGTTTCCCTGAATCTACGATCCTTCCCCGAAATCAACTCCCCGAAGCCCAGAACGTCACCGGCGAGGAGCAGTTGGAACGGGAGTCGTGCCCCTCGAGAAAAAAACATGTATTTGTTCGTGTCACGCACTATGGACCCACCTGCATCGCCGTCATGGTGCCCCTCAGGAAACGACGCCTCCACTCGCAAGTCCAGACTTGCCAAGACCACCCCAAGGCATGGCAGTCGCCCCCGCGATCGCAGCCAACCCGAGAACAGGTCGACCTCTACCACACCCAGCCGGCAGGCGCTAAGCTTATAGCTAGCGCCGGCAACAGAGAAGCTGACCGGCCTTCGTCGCAGCCACACTGCACGCGTGTGTGTGACATGAGGAAATCGGGGAGTACGTGAAGGCTCTTTTTCTTCAAAACAACCGGTGGGTGGTTACCGAACTGCTGCGGAGGTGATGCACTACGAAACATGATTGGGCAGAACAGTTCGTCAGGGTGGGTCGCTGCTGGTTGTAGAAGGCTGACGGGCATTCGTCGAAGCCACACTGCACGTGCGTGTGTGTTGATACGAGGAAATCGGGGAGTTCGATGTATGCAAAGACGTTCTTCAAAAAGCTAAGTGTGTCAATACCCGACGGCGGAGGCGATTGAACCACCAACTATGATCGGGCAGAGCTGCAAATCTAACGTTTCGTGAGGGCGGACCGCTGCTACTTCTAGGCGGCGTGTGTCGTGTGAGCCGCGGCTCTCACCTTGACAGGCGTTGTTGGCGACCCAGCTGGCCACTCGCGCGATCGCTTTGCCGACCCCCAGCACGAGGACGAAGCAAAGCAGCGCCCATTTTAGGCTGCCTAGCACAAACACCAGCATCCCCATCTCTTCGGCTGTGGGCGCGCTTTCTCCTGGAAATAAAGCGCGGTTGCAGAACGTGTTATGATAGGCAACGCACACCGAAATTTGAAAACTCCAAGCAAACCTCGCTTCGGCTCGTGGCAAGAACGAGACAGGTCGCCCGAAGTAAGAATCGAGCGCTACGGGAATCGTGGATGTACCACCTGAAAGCTGCGGTCGATCTGCTTTTCCAAAAGTACGAAATGCAGCCACCAACAAGAGAATTGTGTCCACTGACTGCGGCGTCAGCCGTTGCTCGCCGACAGCAGTACAGCGGCACATACCTTTTGGATATCAACGCGGGCACCTGCACAAGCTACATGTACCGCTGAACCCCTTTACCGTCTTGCCTATTTAGTGTAAGCAGTGACAGCAGCAGTGTTTCCGAGCTCGAATGCATCAATCCGCACATCACGCGAGGAGCGTTGTGGTAGACGTCTCGATACGCTTCGCTGTTAGCTTGTTACTTGTTACACATGAGCCCTTATCTACTTCTAAGCAGCTCGACCGCACCGAAAGTAGATTACTCCACCTATGAACACTCCGTGGAACATATCTGCGCTGCAGGACCAGTTCACATGATCTCGCCCGATATGGAACCTTGCCCCAACTACTGATGCGTTGGTCTCTCAGTATTTAGCGCACGGCAACAAACGGCAAGCCATTGGAAGAAACAACATAAGTTAGTTTGTCTTGCCGAACCCACATCCCACGCCACCCTGCTGCTGCTATGCACACGGACCTGCGGTATCCTGCAGCACGGGCTGACTCCTCTGAACTCTTGAAGCCAACGACATTTCAAGACAGCAGTAAAACACGACTGCCCTCCTTCCTCTCTCCGTAGGTCAAAACCTTATCGGAAAACAGAGGACATCGTAACCCACCTGTCGGAGTATATCTACCGCCACGTCCCACGCAGAATCACCATCCGTCCTCTCCTGTGCGTGTTGGTGTGTACTGTGTAGCGGCACGCGGGTGAGACAGGAGAGGGGGCTCCGTGCATGTCATCCAGCTCCCATTTTCAGGTGAAGGGGGGAGTTCGAACCACGATCACCTCCTGAGAATAGTTGCAACTCCATGGTCGTCAGAAGAAGCCTGCACGCCTACGGGTGCAGTCGCAGCAGCAGGCAGTGGACTACAAGTACTAGTTTCGGCAGGGCCTTGAGATGTCAAACGGAGGTGGTGAGATACGATATAAGCATGAAAGCAGTGGTATTGATGCAAGAATGGTGATAGGTGACGATGTCGGTGCGGGACGATTACATGTAGACACTGCTGAGCTTGGATACCACAACACCTCGATGGGCCGTTTGATCCGAAATGTGCGGAGGCAGGAGCGCACCGACTTGATCAACAGGTTCCTCTCAATCGACATGGACGCGAAGGTGGGGACATTCGTGGAGTTGCGTTCAGTTTATAACGTGATGGTGGGGGGCGTTGTTACATTGTGTGTTCGTCGAGAAACAGCACGGAGGGGCGGTGTCACAGGGCACATGAAAGAAGGACTGCTGCTGTCTTCGTGTTCTCCATATCCAATAGATCTCCATGATGGAAGGTTGGCACACGTTTGCATCACTGAATGATGATCAGATTACGGACTTGACAGATTCACATCGGCCTAATCTCCGGCAGATATCATTTAATCCTAATTGTTACGACTTCGGCACAATCTCTGTAAGGAGTAGTAGAGAGAGATGGTCACCAGAAGGGTGCGACCGAAGGTATTTGATATCATTTCGTTCTTCGTTCTTGTCTTTTCTCCATCACGCACCCCCTGCGCGATAACTTAATGATGATTCCGGACTGGGAAAAACTGAATAAATCAACGACGGCTTTTGCAGGTAGGTAGATCGGAAGAAACAGGCATTCCTTGCTGTTTTTCGGGGCCAACTCCAGCTCGTAAGATAAGCAACATGGTTGCTTCCCGGAACGCTGCGACGCGGTCATAATACGGTGGTGGTGACCGACCGTTAGAACAAGTCGAGTGTGGTTCCGGCGTGTGCAAAGAATGTCTAACGACGCAGGTGTCAACTGTAAGTTTACCCATTTGGCTAGGCCGTCCATCGCAAGTACATCATTCGGTGCCTCTTTCGGCATCAGTAGGGTGCAAGAGGTGTGCTGCGCCGTGTGCTTGGTTGAGTGGATTCCGGTTGGTGACTCAATATAACTTCTCCTCATTTGCCACATGTGCTCCGGAACCGTGCCGTACGTACATCAGGTGAGCAGTGCAACCCCGACGACAAATAAATGCGATGAAAATATAAAGCGCGGCGACGATGTCGTTAAAGCCTAGAAACTGTCCCGGTCTCGTCGTGTAGTACACACCCTCACGCCCGAAGTGGGGGGTTCCAGGAGATGATGCGATATCTCCAATCATCCCAGCGCGACAATCAAATGAACCCATCCTTGCTTTTATGCACCCATGTGCGATAACTCCGGGCTGCGCAAGTGCTTGCAAAAGCTTACGAAAGCCCTCTGTGATGTCGTGTATTGTTCGGCGTATGTAGCATGATGCACGGTAGACTAACGGTTCTAAGCTACACACGCCGAAGGAGAAGAAGCATGAAAAATAACCAACAGTGTATCATGGGGCTGTCTTTTCGTACTTTCACTTATTTCCCACATGCATTTGGCATTTGCTCGTCCCTGTAGAAGCCGAAATCGAACCATTAGACTAGTCAGCCGCTGACTAGTCTGATGGGTCGATTTCGGCTTTCTATAAGAAGTCGCTGACTAGTCTACGCTGACTAACGGTTTGGTTTCGGCTTCTATTAAAGTCGCTAACTAGTCTACGCTGACTAACGGTTTGGTTTCGGCTTCAATAAAAATCCCTGACTAGTCTACGCTGCCCAATGTTTTCATTTTGGCTTGTGTATTCCGCCGGTCTCGTCCCAGTTTGTGTCGGGATTGGTCGAAGCCTACCGTCGGTCGGGGGCAGCCTACCCGGTGTTCGCCAATCTGCGGAACGGCCTGTGGTATGGTAAGGATTGGGATGGGACGTGCTACTTTAAGTCCACGGACGGGCACAGCCGAAGGTGAGGCGCCGTACATACGTTACTCCGCGCCCGTACAGGATAGCCGTCCAACGTTACATGGACGAGGTAGAGGCGCTGAGTTGTGTGCTACGACGAGGTGCTAGAGCTAGACAGCTCCGAGGTTGTGGTGGATGCACGGGGTTCGTCCGTCGGTTGATTCCAGCCTTGCCCCTTCTCTAACTCTCTATCGCCATGTCTAGATGGGCCTTCAGCTACACCCGCCTGAACATCCACCTGGCCGCCGCTGCCGCCGCGGCCGGAGGTTGCATCGTGGTGGACTCTACCCGAGCTGGCAAGCGCTTTCCAGACTCGTTCACCGCGACGGTGCGCACCCACCACGACTTTGGATGCGCGAATTTTTGCTTCATTGTGCGTTGAGCAACAGCACAGCGCGTTCTACGGCGAAAGGATGGCGTGTTGCTGCTTACGCGCAAAGGGTTTGCGTCTACACCGGTTGGCCACCGCTCGATCTGGTGCTATTTCTCGTACATGGTTGGTCCTCGTTTTCGCATGCTTGCCTCGGCCACGAGCTGCGACAATCTCCGATATACGCACATGTTGCTGCTCGTGTCCATATCGCATCTCATCCCGAGAAACTGTAGGTTGCGCAAGATGCCACCTCCCCTCCACAATTTTCAAAACTCGAGTACTCCGCAGCTAAAACAGGAATGGCACCGAAACTGATACCCTATTTGATCTTTGCATCCTCGTCATCGCGGAGTAGTCGAGCAGTGATTTTACATCAAAGGGTTGTATGTGTTTAGGATAGTGGATTTACCGTCGGGAAGCTCAGTCAGCCAAAATTGCTGGCAATTTCGGCTAGGTGGGCAAAGTCGGGAGGGGATTAATAGGATTGAGGAGCAGAGGCAAGTGAAAAGCACCGCGCAGGCTTGAACCACGGAGTTCGTTTGACACGTCCAAACTTCCCTCCGAGGGCCACAGGAGGTAATGCTCAAGGAAACTGAAAGGAAGACACCACAGGGGACGAAAAGCCGCGTGGTTATCTCGGCACCTGTTGCTTGTCTGGCAGGTGCCCATCTGGTGCTGCTTGCTCAACCGACTCGCGGCACCGACGAACGATGACTCCGGTACCGCATCTAGCGCCAGCATCGTTGGAGAACTCAGCGGTGAGGAAGACGAAGAAAGGTCTTGTCCAGGGAGGGACAGCGGCAGTTTCTGGGACACCGCTTTACACACGCCGAGGTGTGGACCCGTCTAAGTTGTTCTTGAATGTACGACCCCCCTCCCCCCCCCCGCCACAAGACTGGGGTACTTGTGCCAGGAGGTGTGAACTTGGATCTAGACTACGAGCCCATGTTGGAGGCGCTTTTTAGCGTCGGTGAGCCGGCAAAAGAACTGAAAGGAACCACAACCCCCACCGGACACTCGGATTCGGAAGGCCGAATATTCCGTATACCTTCCTGAAAAACACGAAAAACAAGTGGCCACGGTCCAGTTGCTGTAGAGATCATGAGGATGAAGAATCCGGGAGAATGGAAGCAGAAACTGTGGAAGGGAGACAGGTTGGAGCTGCTGCTGTTTGGGATTCCAAGGGACATGACGAGGATAGAGTTCAAGAACTGTTGTGACAGGGAGGGACTGCACTGCCCAGCAAGGGGAGAAGTAGGCAGAGAGCATGAACATTTCCGGGTGAAATTGACCAAGGGAGACAGCCAAGAGTGCTTGGGGGTTGACATCGAGAAGCTGTCGAACTACGTAAGGAAGTTTGGATGGAGGGTTTGCGTCGCGAACATGATAGAAACAGAGAAGGTAAGGAGACAAGAGGCGAGGGCGATGGAGGCGAAGAAGGGACCCGGCGGGGGAGGCGAGCAGGCAAATCAGGAGAACGCCGAGAAGAAGCGGAAGGCGAACGATAGAGTGCGCAAAATCTCCAATAGGGAAAAGCACAAGCTGAGAGTGGGGTCGTGGAACGTGTGCGGGTTCGCAAGGAGTGAGCGCAAGCGGTTGGAAATAGTGGACCAAGTAGAACAAAGCGATCTAGATGTAGTGGGGATCCAAGAGACGTGGGAACTGAAGGATGGGGACGTGGTAAGCAACTAGGGAAATACCGGTGGGTAGGGAAGGCAAGAAAGGGCTTAGACCCGAAGAAAAGGGGGGAGGGGAGAGTCGGATTCCTGGTCAAGGAACACTTGTTTGACGTCGTGGAAGTAGTGGTGAAAACGGAGTTCGAGGAAAGCCTATGGCTTAAGATACCTGGGGAGCGGGGTGAGAAAGACTTGTTTCTAGGGAACGTATACGTCCCACCGTCGTCGAAGAAAGTCGCAACCAACGCGCAGGAGAACTTCGGACAAATTGGGGAAGATGTCCAGAGGTTCAGTAGGAAGGGAGAAGTTGTCATGGTGGGCGATTTCAACTCCAGAGTAGGGAAAGCTTCCAGTAGAGGACTGGCGATCGGGCAGCACGGAGAAGACAAAGTGAATGAGAACGGAGTGAGGATGCTTGAATTCTTGGGAAGCAACGAGCTGATGGTGTTGAACGGTAGGAGGGAATGCGATAAGCCGGAGTTCACCAGGCAAAGGGCAGTTTGCAATGAATACTCGATCCTCGAATACATCCTGGTAGATAGGGGGAGCACACAGATCCCAGAGCTGATCGTAAGTGCGATAGATATAGGTTCGACCGACCATTTCCTCATATGGGCAAACATCGACCGATCTAGAAAGACGGAGAGTAAGAAACAGAGAAAAGTGTTCCGGTGGAAAGTAGAGCGTTTGGGAGACGAGGGGACACGGGATGAATTCCAGAAAGGACTGGCTGGTCTTCAGGAAACTGCTGAGAAGCGTCGAAGACGAACAGGTAGACGTACAAGCAGCAGGGGACAGGGTGATTGAAGGATGGGAGTCCATAGTGAACATAACGGCAGAGAGAGTAGTGGGAAAGAAGGTGGTACGATGTAGGGTATCGGTTAAGTGGTGGGATGACGAGCTGAAAGAAGAAATAGGGGAACGTAGAGAAGTCTTCAAACAGTACCTGAGTGAAGGGTCTGAGGAGAGCTGGGAAAAGTACAGGGCCAAGAGGAAACAGGTGAAGGGACTAGTGAAAAAGAAGAAAAAGTGCATTTGGGACGAAGTAGTGCAGAAGGCCAACGGAGGCCTGGAGGGGAACGCCAAGCAGATGTGGGAAGGGATTAGTGGGATGGTAAAAAGACCGCGCAAGGGGGGGATACAGGGGTAGCAACTTTGCGAGGTGTGAAAGGTGGACTAGTCAGCAGTGGGAAGGGAAAGAGGGAAGTTCTAGCAGGACGCTACAAGAGACTTGGAGTGCCTTCGGAGAATGAAGCTTTTGACCAAGTGTTTAAGAAGGAGGTGGACGCATGGGACCAGAAAGAAGAAGAGACATCGAAGGCAGACGTTGGGAACGTAGAACTAGAAAAGGAGTTCGCTGAGGACGAGGTTGAGGCGTGCGTGAACAAGTTGCAGTGCCACAAAGCAGCAGGGGCGGATGGGATAGTCAACGAGTTCACGAAGTTTGGGGGGAAGGGGATGATCCAGTTGATGGTACTGCTGTACAACTAGGTGTGGAAAAACGAGTATGCGCCAAGTAGATGGAGGGAAGGAGTGGTTGTGAACTTGTTTAAGAAAGGAGACAAGACTGACCGAGGAAACTACAGGGGTATCACACTGTTGAACACAGTAGGAAAATTGTTTTGTAAGTTGCTGAACGATAGGATAGTGGGAGTATCGGAGAAGGAACGTAGCATCAGTGAGGGCCAGGCAGGTTTCCGACAGAAGAGGGGGTGCGCAGACCACGCATTCACGGTAGGGAGAATCATCCAAGGTAGAAAGAGGGCGGGAAAGCCGACGTACTGCTTCTTCCTGGACGTGAAAAAGGCATACGATACCGTATGGAGAAATGGGCTGTGGAAACAATTGTCCAAGTACGGGATCAAGGGGAAAATTTGGAGAGTGCTGAAGAAGATGACAGAGTGTACGAAAAGCGCGGTCATGCTCGACGGAGAACTGTCTAAGTTCTTCGACATTGAGCAGGGGGTCCCACAAGGTTGCACGCTGTCCCCAACATTGTTCCAGGTGTTCATCAACGATCTGTTGGAAGTCGTAGAGGCAGTCCGGAAGGGAGTAAAAGTAGGGGACACGGAAACTTCGGTGTCAGGAATGCTGTTTGCGGATGATTTTGTTGGTATGTCGGACACCCCTGAGGGACTGCAACTACAAATTGACGCGGCGAAGAAGTTTACTGATAAATGGAGATTATCTGCCAACGTTAAGAAGAGTGCCGTCATGGTGTGCAACGGGGTCAGGGAGGAACCAGTAGAACACACATGGAAGTGGGGGATCGAGGAGGTTGCAGTAGTGGACCAGTACACATACCTCGGAGTAGAGATCGCAAACGACTGCTCGTGGAATGCACACATGTCCAAGGTAGCGGAAAAGGGCAAAGCACGAGCAGAGAAGCTGCACCCAATACTCGCAAACCGGCACCTCGATACACGCATCGAATTGACGGTTTTGAAGAGCGTAATCGTACCGCCGCTAGAGTATGCCGGAGAAGTACGGGAAGGAAATAAGAAGGTAGTGAAAGAACTCGAGGCGGCGCAGATGAAAGCAGCGAAAATCATCCTAGGATGCTCCAAGCGCACAAGTAATGCAGCCGTAAGGGCAGAATTGGGGATCCAATCCCTACGGTCGGGAAGAGACGCAAGGAAGCTGACATGGCAGTATCGCATGTGCGGGATGGGAGAGGAGAGGTTGCCGAAAATAGTATGGGAGGCGAAGCAAATAAAAAGAGGGGTAGACAACCCACGGAATGGGTCAAGGTTGTAGAGGACGTATAGAAGGGGTTAGACATCGACGAAGATGAAACGCTGGGAACGGAGGGTCTACAGGGGTTCAAGGAGAAGATATCTGTTGCTTGTGCCGAGAGAGAGAACAGAATCTAAGGAAAGAAACCAAGGATAAGGAGGGTCTAGAAGTGTACGGAATGTTGAAAGAAGGACTAGGGTTCAAGGATTACCTACATGGATCAATGGATGCAGGGACAAAGCTGAAGGTCAAATTCAGGACCGGGGACATAGGCCTTCGAGAACGTCGAAGACATAGGACGGTAGACGACGAAGACGACAAGTTCAAATGTGATTGCGGCTTCGAATGCGAAGACCGTGTTCATGTAGTCGCGGAATGTCCGTGGTACGAAGAGGAGAGGGAAGTGTACATGACTGAGCTGGGAAAAATACAAGGGGCGTACAGGGAGATGTTTGAGGCATGGAATAGAGAGGAGAGGACGGTAGCTGTACTGGGGAGTAGGAAGTGGTTTGAAAAGGCGGGAAGGGATATCGTTAGGATAGACAGACTAGGGAAGACATTTTTGAGCCACCTTTGGCAAAGTAGGAAGGAACGATTGGCCATCGGTGATCGGTCCTGCGGGAACAATGCTCCGTCCTCTCGAGGACGCGTGGTCAATGGTCTAACCGCTAAGGCGTGCAAAACATAAGAGTACGCCCCCCCCCCCCCCCCCCCAGTCAAACGAGATCGTGCTGTTCTAGGCGACGGGTGCGCCGAGGAACGCCGTGCACCGGCATGCCTTGAGCAGGAAACAATGGACTGCTGCGCTGAGGCATATACCACATATCTACAAATGCGACGCTCGCCGCGACACACAATAAAAAAATCAGGTGGCTAAGCGCGTCGGAGGCCAGCCAGATCGAGGAGCGCATGCCCGGGTGGATACAAGGGCTGGGAAACGCGAGGGAAGCCCTGTCCGAAAGGTGATCGTACTGCCGGCTGGAGAGGAGGCATAGGCTGTCGCCGCAACCACTTCCGTCTCGGGACGGGTGCGTCGGCCGACCTATCCCGGCAATGTTTCGTTGGTATCAGTGCTGCGTCGAATCAGACCCCGCCAGGCACCGGCGGCCCGCTTGCTTCGGTCGGTCCGCAAATGATACCCCGACCAGACAGCGTATGAGCTAGGGTTCCTCCACGGCGGAAGTGCGTCTAGCTGTGGGAGTAGGCCGCACCTACACCCGCCATCTCGTACGTGAGCCCCCGTCATGCTTTTTCTGAAACAGGTTAAGGTCTTTCCTGAAGAAGCCGCTGCGGGCCGTCTGGCTCAGCCCCGAGAGTCGTCTTGTGGAAGGAATGTTACCAGCGTGTTCGGCGGCGGACCTGTCCTTCACGCCGGTCATCTGCGTGTCCGCTTCAAAGGTGAAAAAATACCCCACCGGGCCGGGCGGGCCCGGCAACAAAATCATCACAGTCCTCAACACCGTGAGAGTGCTCCAGCGAGGAAACGGCCAAGAATTTGCTAGGAGAAGGCATGCCAGGGAGTTACCCACCTTCTCTCCAATACCTGTATCAAGAGCCATGAGAAAATGAGCACCATCCCAGGGGAATAAACACGAGAGCCAACGAGTACACGAGCTACGAAACTCGGGCACCATCCCAGGGGAATAAGCATATGAGCCAACGATTCACGCTTTAACCAGAAGGAAGATCAGAGTCGGAAAGATGCCCGCCGTCGAGCCATGTCCGTCTTAATAGCGCTCCTTATGGCGGTGGATAGGACCAAAATGCGAACTACACCGAGCACATGTGTGGGTGAGTTTCACGTGCACCCTGTTCGAGGTTCATATTTTGCTCAGCGCATTCCCTGGCCTCCCGCCCTGGATAGACAATCTAGGACCTCATTTTCCTTCGTTCGAGTGAAACGCCCTTGTCGCGCTGCACCAAGCTGCGCTAAGTCCGCGCGGAACCCCTCGGCCTACACTCTGCCGAAAACTCGCCGTCGTTGACGCGGGTGGAAGGTTATCACGCCCGAGCGCCATCGCGAGCACCACTCCTGGACATACCTTCAAGGCGCCGGAGACGACGAGGAGCACTGGAGCTCCGGTGAGGCACATTGTAAGGCACACCCACTTGGTGACGCCGCCGACCACGCCCCCTGCGTTTGTTGTAAACGCACCGATGTGCCTGTGGTGGTTGTGTGCATTCGTGATCGACGAAACTCACGATTTTTAGCCCCTTGGTCGGGTGATTGCTGATGAGAGGTGTACTTACTAATGTAAACGCATGCCGTAGTCTTTAGACCGTTGACTTTGGGTCCTTACAACGCCGGGGCGGATCGACATGCCGGGTTTTCGCCAGCCCAGGCCACGTTTCGCAAGGGTGAACCAGAATCTGGCCATTATGCTTGCGTTTGCTGTGCCAAATGAGGGCGGGGGGTATTACTGTAGGTTTCGTTCTGAGGAACACCTTTGGTGTCTCCTGCTGGAGAGGTAGAACCGCGCCCGCAGTGAATTAATACGCTACGCGGATGACGCTGTGACTTCGATTTTCTTCCACGCATGGACGACTTCCGTTCTTCCACGTACAGCAGTATCACACACGCTGTGACAGGTAACGTGCGTACGCGTAGTTTCTTAAGCCCTTCGCTCTCCTCCCAACCCCATGCCGGTCCCCATGTGCAGGCTTGCCTCCTCGTACAGTCTGTTTTGCCGGTGCAACTAATTAATCCGCAATGGCCGCCATCAGTTTTTTTATTTCGTCGCCGTCCGCACCTTTACCGCGGGGATGAAGGGATTACCCCCGAGCAGTTCTGGGCCAATTGCGAGCGTCTCATGGGCCTGGCGAAGGGCGGCGACAGGGGGGCCTTCGAAGGGGTCGTCGCAGCGCTGATCACCAGGAACAAGAAGATGAACGCAAGCAGCCCTTGCGCGGGAGGCACCGAGTCGAGAAGCGGGAGTGGCGCTGCAGGAAGCGAAGAAAGGCCGACTGGAGGAGGCAAGAGTCCGAGCAGCACCGAAGGCCACGACGGAGGGGAGGATCCATGGCAACCCGGAGGACCGGAAGTGCACGCGGTTCTCGGTGCCACGGGTGAGAGGGGGGGCAACAAGGAGGGGTGGGGATCGTTCCGCAGTAGGTCGTCCTATGTAAGTACAGTGGGGGTCCCCGAAAAAGGCAGTGGGGGCAGCTGATAATAACATGGAGCAGCCGCCGCAGTCAATGTGTAGATTAACCTTATAATTCCGTCTATGCCAGCCATTTTCACCCGTCTTTTTTAGGACGCCTTGTTCAGACTGCCTTACTCGGGGACCCCCGCTGTATGCCCGCAACCCCGCTGTGAGCTTGTATCCCCAATCTCTGGGGTATTGCTCGCCATCTATTCTCACATGGAAATGGCCAGCCTTGCACCGCCCGAGTACGCCAACGCTGCATCCTGGTACTCTAGGCGGTGTTCGGTTGAGTACTGTTGCTGCACACGGAGGCGGCGCGGGTCCGTTTCCTCTCGTGACCGCGTTTTTGATTGATGAGTACCCCTCCCCGGCGACGTGTGGCCCGTTGGCTCGCAGGGCTAGTGGTGGGGAGCGTTGTCTACGCTGCGGGAAACTGGGCTTCTCACGGAACGGACTGCTCCTTGCTTAACCTTAGGTATGCCTTTTGTCAGGACGCAGGGCGATGGGCGCTGCGCGCAAGCACAACAGCTCCTCGCCTGTGTTAACTCAGCTAGTGTGGCATCCTTCCTGCCAGCTCAACAACTCTCTCCTTGCTGCACAAACATCTTGGACACCGACTGTTGGTCACTGTAAGTTTTTTTCTCGTATATTTCGTCTGTCTCGGCCTCTTCGACCGAGTTGGTCAGCGCAAGCCCCCCCCCCCCGCGCTTCGTGCTCCACTTCCTCCACATTTCGTTTCCGTGCCGCTCCGTGCGCGCCGTCGCATCGCCCTTGCGCAATGCTGCAGCGACGAAGCCTTCCCCGAAGAGCTCGTGGAGAGGTTGACTGGCCCAACCAGGCGGTACCTTCATGTTCCGCTCAAGGGAGGTGTGTAGCACACTCGCAGATGTAGCACACAGCCGCCTAAACGCTTGTCCTTGCGGGAGCTCAGACCGCCGCGTGGCACCCTTGCGGGCGGGATGCGGGGGGGCAAGGGCACGACCGGCCGGCTATGTAGTTGCCCAAGAAGCCCTTGGCGTGTGATGGTAACGGTACCTGAAATCGTCCTTGATCTATCCTTCCTTTGTTCTCGTTTTCGCACCGTAGGGAAGAAGGCAAATCCGCCGAGGTATTGGCAAAGGACGGTCTTTCCTGCGGCTCTGGTGTTCATCGCGTCCGCTGTCGGGGACTTACGGCTGCCGACGGCACGCAAGGGTATGGCCACGGATCAGTCGGCGGCCGTGGTTCATGGAGAAGCCACGGGGCCGTTGGTCCACGAGGGGGCTCATCTTGGTGAGGAGGCGGCGGCGAGCCCCGACAGGAGCTTGCCGAGTTACTGCGGTGGGAAGGTCGGAGAAACGAGTGCCGTGGACGCACCCGACCCTACGCAATTGGAAGGGGCGGGAGGGATTTCTTCGCCGGCGGAGGCGGACACAAGAGCGATTGCGACGTCATCTGCTCAACCACGTTTGCGGCAACAGTGGCAAGCTGAGCGCGGCGGTGCCGGGGTGATGCCGGGACCGGTCAGCGCGGGCAAGTGCCTCGTAGTGTGTGCCACCGGAGCGGACGCTTCGGTAGTTGTCTGTCTCTGCGCTCTTGTGGCTTTCTTCCCTCCAGGCCCACAAGCAAGCACTAACACACCGTCCGGGAATCGAAATCAGCAGCCGCAGCAGCAGCAGCAGCTGCCGTCACCATCGTCGCGACACGCCCTTGTCGCCGATGAGACCGACGGCGGCGACTCCGGGCTGTGGTTAGGAGGCGGCAGGTTTTCGGTTCTTCGACGAAGTGCCGCAGGCGTCGTGACCAAGTCCCAGTTACGTTGGCGTTTTTTGCTGATGCAGCAAGAGTGTCCTTGGGCGCGCCCGCCGCGGCGCTCGATGCAGGAGCTGAACGAGTACTTCATGACGCCAGGGGAACACTCTTGGTGGACGTTGAGCGATCGGTATCATCTCGGGGAGGCTGACTCGCTCGAGCGATTGGATGCGGTACTCCCGATGCATAGATAGCATCCGCGGGGCCATACCCCGAGTAGGCCAGCCCGGCTTGATTTTTTGGCGCTTTGGCGGGAGACTGAGGGGTAGATGCCTTTCTTTGCTATTGTCAGGAAGGTCTCATGTGTTGTACTTCTGTGCTGCACACTCGAAACGCGTCGTGCTTTAACCGACTAGCGCGGGCGATGTTGCTCGAAAAAAAACTCAAGGAGAACCCCTCCTCCACGGACCCACATGCAGTTGTCATCCGCTTGTATCAACGCTGTTTCATTCATCAAGCCTGGTCCCGCGGTAGGGTTAGCGCATTCGTTGGGGACCGTGCTCAGCAAATATAACCAACCGCCTGAATGTTTTTGTGCATCTTGCGCCATTCACACTCGTGACGAGTTCTTAGGCTGGCATCACCAGTGGCAACGGTTCCCTTCGCAACACTTCTTGTTTGGTCACAAAGAGGTCGGCATACATGCGCATATCTTTTCCCTACGTATCGGCGACAGAACAAACAGATCTTCTCGATCCGGGGTCAAACGTTGTGCTCCGCAACACGGTATTATTCCACTGCAGCTTCACACGTGAAAGGCTCTACGACGCCAAGAAATCTCGTGAGCCGCGTTGGCCATGCTGTGTTTTGCGTGTTATCCGGTCTCTTTCGCCAATGCCTCACTGAGGTTCCTTGTCAACGAGAACCAAAGGCCTTGGTCGTAGATTCGACAGACCAAAGGTTGTGGGTGTGGAGACAGGCAGCTCGGCGAAGGAGGGCCGAGATTGAAACATCGCGTACATTGTCGAAGTCTTCAGTGAGAGGATGAGTGTGGTAAGAGCACCACGCAATACCACGCTGTTATCACCATATTAATCCGTCAGTCCATCGAAACGATCTCCATCACACCAAGATAAGCCGAGGAAATCAACCATGAAGGAAGTAGAAGCTATCGTTCTACCGTTCTCACGCAATCTACCGAATACAATCTCGTAGATTCGAGCCCTGTACTCCTCCGTCACATTTTGCTATATTAGCTAACAGCCCCCCCCTGTAAACTCCACGTGACATACATCGAAGACAACACTCGAGCTATAGCGGCGGGGACGGTACAACAGATCCTGGGCGCTGCCTCACGACTTTGTAAGACGTAGATTATGCGTATGTACATAAGACAAAAAATCATGTACAGAAGAACATTAATTTCTATGCAACCATCCGCTCGGCACAGAGGCACAGGCCTCGCGCTTCTATTTCCTGCTATTTCCCTATTTTTTACAACGAGCCCAAACGTTGTTGGCACCATTCCGAATTCCAAGACGGTAGAATCATCGTTATCGTCTTCGAGGAAGATATGATGATGGGCTGCAGCGGAGACAGGGGAGCTCAGATGATCTGCTCTGCGAGACAAGAGCGGCAGCACGTGCAACGGTAACGCAACGGAAAGGGTGAGCGGCTTTCTCGAGAAAAAAAGGTGTTTCAATGTAGGTAATAAATCGAGCCGGGTGGACGCCGGAGTGGGCGGTGAGCCGTAGCGTGCAGTGTGTCCTGATCGAAACCGCTCCAAACACCAGCCGCTCAATGCAATCTATTCCAGGCCACGCTCAAAGTTGAGGGTTCAAGCCACGAATCCTTTAACACAGCTAAACGCCAGAATTCCTCCGGCGAACGCAATAGAAATGGGCCGGCAAACCCAGTACTAAGTACATTATGCCGCCAGAAAATCTCCCAAGGGACATCAAGAGGCAAGGTGGACATTTTTTTTGTTGACTGCTAAGATAAAACCACGGGGAAAAATTAACGTATTTACAGCTGTTTCGGCGATTGGGGGGGAGGGGGGTGAAGAGGACAATGCGTTATGTCCATCTGGATGAGACGAGGAGGTAGACATCTACGAACGAAACATACAGGAAGACGACCCAGACACGACCAAGACTTGATTACATCCGCACGTACATGTGTGAGGTCATGCCAAAAAGAGGTCTGAAGCCTCGGGCAAACGCGGGTCGCTATCCCTGTCGCGGTTGTGGAAAACCTTCAACGCCCATGCGCATCCGAGGAAGCAGGAAAAGCTCGCGATAATATTTGGCATAGCCAGCAGAGTTAAAATTCCGGCGTTGGCATCGATATACTCGTAGTTGAACCTGCTCAAGAAAACGTTCGGTATGTGCGGCGAACGGGGTAGAAGGGTTTTGGGTGCAGGTTTTATCGTTCCGATTGCATGGATGAAGGCACGCCAGGCACACAGAAGTCCATAGGGTACCAAAGTCGGAGGAGATAATCAACAACGGCAGCAGAGTTAGTGGTGCCAAGCGAAGGGAGGGCCCACATCGCGATAACTACGTACCGCGCTCTCCCACACAAGCGCGTCTTAGAATGCGAGATCGCACAGCTCCTGCACTCGGCACTGGACCACTCACCACGCCGCCACGAGAATCATGTCGAGGAGTCCCGTCACGCCGTACAAAATAGCACAGGAAACGTACACGAACTTTGAGGGGGCCCACAGCACAAAGATGCTCGTGAAAACCCCAGTGAGATTGGCGTCCAAGTTGATTATCAGCACCGTGGTCCAATCTCCTATCAAGACGGGCAGCGGAACGAAAAAGCGCGGGCGGATCGTTGTAAGACACCATGCGGAGCTTGGAGGGTGAGTTGGTGAATCTGTTGTGAAGATTAGGCCACCGTATGGTGCGAAGTCTTACCGAACACTCAAGCCCGGCGAAAATAACAAAGTAACCCACTGATGGTGAGTTCTTGGCGGAAGAGAAGATGTTACCGAATAGTAGTGTTAAAGCGTAAACACAGCAAGATATCTGGTCGGCGGGTGAATCGCAGGTTCGCACTGCTCATGCATTGGATGAACAGGGATGTCGCGGGCGGATGTGGCCCTGCTACAAACTACTTCACCGAACACCTCTTGTAGACCTTAGTCTATGCAGGTTTTGGCACTTCTTGTTGTGTGCTGATGAATATTGACCACGATGAGGTATCTGCCAGCACCTCACGTGGGCACCGATGCCAATTTTTCATACTTCGACTTGAGTACATTGCTTAGGCCATGCCTCGGTTTCGTGAGATTAACAACACCTCTCCAATGTGTATGCACCGGTTTGTACTGACTGCGGATGGATGCATCCTATGGACAACGACGTGACGGGCTCATTCACAACATATCGAATATCCGCCTCGATGATACTAGCGATCAGCAAATATGCCAAGCGTGGCAGCTCAGCCCATTCCACAACGTCCGCCTGAAGCTGGCTGTGATACTACACACCCAAATACTTATGTACTGCATGAAGCGTCAGCACTGACCCCATACGTAGCAGCCGATAAGCAGAGCGATGGCGTGGATGGCGAGGATGGCGATCGATGCCCCGTGCGCCTGCGGGGGTGGAATATTATTGGCGTGTCGGCGGTGGCGTTAGAGTTGGCGTGTTGTTGTTTGCGGTGGTGGTCCTATATACTGTAGTGGTTGCGGGGAGTCTGTGTGTCGACTTTGAGTTGCTGTAATTGCTGTAGATGCATATTGTAGAACACATGTTTGTCCAAGTATTGTGGAAATGACGAGCGAGCGCCATCGAGAAATTTAGAGCGTAGACCACAGCATGAACGAACGCCCCGCGATGATTCGCTCCGCATTACTTATACCGTATGCATACAAGATTGCCTCATCGCAAATTCATATACGCGCATCTACCCGAGGGCATTCACCCCGCCACTCAACGGCTGAACATTCTCCGCAAATATTGCTTAGACTACAACAGAGAGTTTTCGACATGTGTCTACGGAATGCAACAGGTATGAATGCTACGTAACTGCTATTTTTTACGTGTTGGAACGCTGGCGTCAAGGGCAGTTCGCTGATGTCGGCGCTACGGTACTCTGTAGACATCGGTCTTGTCAAAAAGGAGCAGCAATACTGTGACTCCATATTAAGTACGTCTGCCCTGCAGAACTCAGACGAAGAGGGTTGAGCTCGCTGTGGGCGGTACAAACCAATCACGATAAAGCGGTTGGATCATCAGGAGAGATGCAACGAACCATGTACGCGCATGTAGCGCAGCAACAGCTACTTGAAACCACACCCTACATATTACATGCGTGCGTTACATGACGTACCCGTGATCTCACCGCTTTGATATCCCCCTCCATCCTCGCCGGGGGGCCGAAGCACGGGCGGGCGCAGCAACACGGCGGGGAGTCCTGTACGGTAGTCACAGCCTTCATGGGCATGGGCATGATCTTATACGGCGTCTTGGTGATGTCGTCCATACCGGCCAAAGCTCAGCAGCGGTGCACACGAACAAGCTCTGTAGATTGGAAATGTAGGAGGAGAAGTTACGGAGGTGTGTATGGAGGTGTGGAGGGGCAACGACGTGTGCGTGCTTCGCGACGGCAAATTGCGCTCAAAATCCGGAGCACCGGTCCATAAGAAAACCCTGTCCCCGGAAAATTTCCCGGAAAACTCTCACCCCATCACGGGTTTTATGTGCCGATCCCATCTTCTGTAACAATCAAGTACTCGGAGTATATATTTCTGCTCTGTCGGCGTATTGGCCATGCATACTCGTCGCTCGACTGCAGTAAGGGGATCCGGGAGAAACTGGGTAGTAAACTCTCGATGTATTTCCGGGGACGAGCGTTTAACCAACGGCGGCAACACTGCTGTCGATTATCCCACATTCTGAGGTCGTACCGGGGGCAGCCCGCCGTAGCTCTCGATCCCCCGAGCACTGCATGGTAATATCTATAAATACACACACAAATAGACTACTCCAACAACGGAGGCCTTCCCCGATGAGTCCCGAAGCGGTAATGATCATTTTGGAGGAGCAGCAGCTTCTCCCATACGACTCATCCAGCTGCTGCGCTCGTTCCACTATTGCCACGCCCACGGCGGCTCGTTGCCCGCGCCGATCTTTTTTTTTTGTCTTAAAGATATGACACAACGAATCCATCTCTATCTGAGAGTCTAAGATAGATTAGCAATGAATCCATAGCGTCAGAGGAAGGCTGCCTGTATTTCCACAATTTCCCGAGCAGCACACAGCGACATCTCCCCTGTGGGTAACAGGCTCAACAAGACAGTTTGGTAGCCGTCTTGTGTATCTCTCTCTCTGGCATGTGTTTTTTTTGGACGACCGCGAGGCCCAGATTTAGGAATATGATACCCCCCCTTTGATACAAGCTAGAGAACCCCTCCCTTCCTTTTGAAGAGACGAGGGCAAGGTGGGGTGCTGGAGGAGGCGGAAGGAGGCACAGAGATCTATCCATTGCGCTGTACTCGGTCTTCGGCAATTAGTGGAAGCCGACCGTAGCAAGCGGGAAGCAAGAGAGACTGAGGCGACGGCAGAAAAAGGCTAATACATCGTCTTGCTGGCTGGCTTTTTTTCGAAACCACCAAGAGGCGGCGCTTGGAGTAGGTCGCAACTCGCAGGCTCGCCAACAAGTTGGCGGAGTCCACCGCAGCAGAGGAGGTGAGGAGGAAGAGAGCAAGCGTTCACTCCGTGCACCTTGTAGTTGGACGAGACGAAGTTATCCAGTATCCAGGTAGAGAGATTCGTACAAGCTTGAGTAAATCTAATTGCGCCGCATTTTTTTCAGATAAGGGGGAAAATGTGTCGCTTTGTCGCTCTCTTGGTCTCTTCGAAAAACGGACCTAGATATGCGTATGCACCGACTTAAAGCAGCACATTATTTTGCGCGATTGATTCTCACCTTTGTCCAGCGGGTCGTCGGCTACAAGCTATGCTATGCCCCAAAGTAGTGGTCGTGGATAGAGACGCGCAATTGTTTGTGACCTAAATTTCGGATGTTTCGTTTTGCACAAATCGACACAGGTTGGTTGTACCCGTCAGGTGTATTAGGCTGAGTCTTACGGCGTGACTATTTCGGAGATTTTTTTTCTCTCGGTCGGGGGGGGGGTGTCCTGCACGGAAAAAATTATCAATATCCAAACGACCGTCTTACGGTTCCTCGAGGTATATTTTTTTCTGAAGGGAAAAAAGAGGCTGATTCATGTTCTTGTGAGTCCCAACATGCTTCAGTGCACTTTTTTGGCTCGTGTGCGACCAACAAGACACCGAGCGCCCTATTTATGGGTCGCCTGCAGAGGGCATGTGTATCATCGCATGCCAGTGGCTGCAGTTTGTGGATGTCGTCGGCCAAAGGCCTCTCTCTGATGGCAGGCGTTGTACACTGATCACACTCGACTCGGAGCAAGCGGCAGAAAAAAAAGCAACGTCCAAAAAAGACAACACCGAACCACACCTCGATTCACGTTCGCAGACCGTGTGCAATCAAAACTGGACAATACGCTCTGTTTCTGGGACGCGAGCAGACGGTATGTGTATGACCACACGCCACTGGCTGCTGTTTGTGGATGTCGTCGGCCAAAGGCCTCTCTCTGGCATGCGTTTTTGACTGGTCGCGGGTGACACACGGAGCAAACACGCGGCGGAACAAGAAAAAATACCAAAAAGTCAACACCGCAACACACTTTGGTTCACGTTTGCAGGCCGCGTGCAATCAAAACTGGACAACACGCTCTGTTTCTGGTACGCGAGCAGAGGGTATGAGTATGAACACACGCCATTGGCTGCCGTTTGTGGATGTCGACGGCTTAAGGCCTCTCTCTGGCATGCGTTTTGAACTGGTCACACATGCAGCAGGCGCAAAAACGGCTCTTTTCGGCCCAAAGGCAAGAACGTCAGTAGAGCAATGTGGCAGGGTTGACGTTTTCGGCTCGTGTGCGGCCAACACGACGCAGAACGCCCTGAATTTTAGATACCTGCAGAGGGTTTGTGCATGACCTCATGATACTGACCTCTGTTTGGCCAGCAGACGGTGTAGTTCCTCGTTCTGGCACGATCGGGGTTTGAACAGGGGGTACCCCCCCCCCATTCTAACAGCAATATTCCAACAGGATCGCTGTTGGAAAATGGGCCAATTTTCTAACAGGCCGGCCGGAATCGCTGTTGGAAATTGCCATTTTCCTACCCGTAAGACGCCCAAATTATTGTTTTGGCTCAGAAAACGACCCCACCCCCAAATCCAATCCGGAAATAATCACGCCGTAAGACTCAGCATTAGGGAAAAAAACAAACAAACTTACAAACACAGAGAGACTACCCATTCGAGATATAACCACAGTCGAACGGGATGTGTTGGAGTCCTTGTACAGTGAATGGAGGGAAACGGGCTGTGTATGCACAAAAAATGCACAAGGTGGGCGCATCTGACGGAGTGAGACTTCCCTATAGACCTATTGACGGATTTCCTACGGGCTGAGGGCTCACGAAATCGCAGGAAAGAGCATCCTGATCCTCTCTTGCGCCTAGAGCCCTTTTTTCGAGGTTTCTCCGCCCGTAGACCTCGCCTCGAAGCGAGACTTGCACCTACCGATAGCCCCGTGTTGCGAGGGCCCTCCCCGCGTGCCGCGCGCTCTCGGGCCGGACTGCGTGCAGCGCTAGCGAGGGCAGAAAGTCACGTCTCCGACATCTACCATGGATCCACCAATCACGCCCCGACTTCTTGACAGTGCAGGCTATTCGTACATTCGGCGAGCGGCTGACGTCGTGCGTGTGCGCCGGCTACACGCTACACACCCCAACTACCAAACACCACAACCAAGCCACCAAGTCTCCGCATTACACGAGAAAACGTAATCTACTGCTGTAGGGCGTCTCCCTTTCTATCCCGGCGAAAAGCGGTGGGGCTAGCGGCCGGTGTCGTGCGCGCTGCTGTCTGCACAACTACACCCGCCTGAGAAAAAAAAAAAAATGACATACGTTGTTTGTTCCTCCGTTTCATGGAAGCGTTTTTTTTTTTTTTGCGGAAATATCTTGTGACTTCCTGCTGCCTACCGCAGTACAGCAACAATTAGTTGTCGTAGAGCGGCTATGGGACGACATGCTACGCATCCCACCAACACACACCAACACACGAAGTTCTACATCCCAACACACTCTGGCAGAGCATATAGCAATACTGCTGCTGTGAGTTGCCATTTTTTTTTTTCATAAATCGGCAAAGGTTGTCTAATTTTCTCTGCTTTTGCTTACACACAACGTGCTGCAAAAACTGCCGTACGTCATGATTTGCGCTGCTTTTCCTCGCCTCTACTACCGTACTCAACCCCGATTCTCACCACCGACGGCTGTACATCAGATCACATGCGAAGACCACACACCCTAGAAGAAGCGAGCTTTATTCAGCTGCTACAACGTCTCGCTGAGGGGGTGGATAGCACATGGGAGAGGAAGAGAGAGAGAGAAAAGCTGTTTGCTTGTGGTGTATTTCTCTTAATTTTTTATTATTCGACACACACACTCCCCTCCCCCCCCGTAACCCCTCGTGTCTTACGAATAGTAGATTATTTTAGGGGTCGCTCCTCTGTTTTCTTATTGAAACGTTTCTTGTATTGCGTGGCCCAGGTTGAGCTATTTGTAAATTAATTAACCCTATTTTCCTATCTTTTTCGTGGAAAAAGTGAGCCTTTTTTTTTTTCTTAATATGACACAACGAAACCATCTCTATCATAGAAAAGAGTCTGAGACAGATTAGCAATGGATTCATAGCGTCAGAAAGTACCTGTATGTCTACGATTTCCCAGACAGCATATAGGGACATCTCCCCTGCGGGTAACAGCCTTTTTGTTTCTTAAAAACAAATTTCTTACTCCGAGTAAAAAATAATACGCTCTGTCCTCCGGCCGTCGCATCATGACATAGAAGTATGAATTTATTCATGGTGCGTCCCTCTCTCCCTGTGCTCTTCGAACAAACAAACAACTTTTCCCTCTTCGCAGCATTTAATTTCTTCTTCGTATCTCTCCTTTCAAAACTCCACCCGCACACACTTGCCATCGCCATTCAACCTACGAGCGTAGCGGTACGCCGCGAAGCGCCCTTGTACTGGCACCAATAATCGCAACAACTTACGCGTCGCCGCACCCAACTATGTCAACCCCCCCCCCCGGTTTGCATACGCATGTTCGAGCCTCTACGGGGAGCACATTGTTCACCCTATTTTTTCATTCGTAGACACCCCCGCCCCCTCCCTCCCTCTGAATTCGCGCCGGCGCGGGGTCACGCCTACGCACGAGTACACCGCCAGAAGAAACAGGTCAACTGAGACAGCATTATAGAGGAAAACAGTCGATCGGGCAGTTTTCGAGAGAGGGTTCTCTAGATGTCGAACCTCTCCATCGACAAGGTCGGACGCGTATTCGCGTAGGATAAATTTCTCTTCAAGTTGTCAAACGGTTTTTGGCCTCTTATGTACTAAGGGGGTTCATAGATGGTGGCGAATCAAACAGCAGCACCAATAGCAGACACTTGCCTCTTTCTTGCTTGGGACTCGTACCCTCTACGATCACACGCGCATATGCGTGCACGACCCCCTCTTCTTACGGCACAGCTGCTGCTGTGTGCGCCTGGCTTGCAAGAACGGACTGCTGCTGTGCTTGTAACCATCTTATGAGAGGATAATCTTTGATTCGCAGACCTGTTGAGGTGTGCCTCGCTTGTGGCTGGGCGCTCTACCGCAGAACTCCGGTGGTGAGTCGCGGGTGTGGTGGACGCCATACGGCAGGACCACGACTGGACAATAGAAGCGAATCCCGGGCACCTTGAACTGGCCTTTCCCTTCTTATTTCACCCAGACGCTACCTGTCGTTAGCAAGGCGCTTCAAGTCGATACTCCTTAATGTCGAACTCACCCTTCATTTAGTGGGAATTTCGCTCTTCCTTTCTTCTTTTTTTTTCCCTTGTCGATCGAGCTTCTATTCGATTTCCGTCTTCTTCGTGGAGTTTTCGAAAATTGTGGCAACATTTCTTCGGACCTCACGCTGCTGCGTCAATATGCATGGCACTCTGCCGTCCCTTTCCTCCCCCTCCTCTCCCCCCCCCCCCCCCCCCCCCCTGCCGCCACCCCAATATCTGTGGCCCCATGCCAAACCACCTCTATTTACCCGGCTCACTCTACCCTGTTTCCCAACCAGGTTCACGCCTCCCTTCTTCGGCCCCGACACACACATAGGCAGCAGCGCTTGCACAGCAGGTCAACGGAAGCGTGTGGCGGCTCAAGGCAGCAACAGTAGCAGCAGGAAATGGCGGATGCTCCGCTCCCATCCTCGACGGACACCGACATCCTCGGCGACTACGACCTCGGCGGCGGCGGGGGTGACGACGACATCGACGCCGACTTGGCCGCGGCGGCCGAGCTCGCGGCGGAGGGCGCCGAAGTCGAGGAGGCCGATGGGACGGCCACAACCGCCGCGGCCGCCGCCGCCGCCGCCGCCGCCGCCGCTGCCGCGGCGCTGCCGGCGGCGGCGGCGACGGCGGTACAACCTGCTGACGGCGGCGGCAGGGCCACGGGTGCAGGAAAGGGGGGCATCTTTGAGCGGCAGCAGGCCGGCGGCTAGCGGTGGCGGCTCCGTGGAGCTGATGCCGCCACCGCCGCCGCCGGCGAAGCCGGAGCCGAAGGAGGCTAACGGGAGCAGCAACGGGAGTGCCGTCGCGAGCAGTCACGGGAGCAGGAAGAGCTCGGGCTCGCGCAAGGTGTGTGTGTGTGTTGCCGGAAACATGCATGTATCCGTCCTGGTTTGTTGTGTTGGTTTTAAGTTGTATGCGCTACAGCAGGCAAGACTTGCCGTTTTTTGCAGCGTACAACTGCGAAGGTGGACTCAAGCGCGGAAAGTGGATTCAAGTGTCCTCCGAAATGCACATGCAACACTGCTCATTTTGCTTGCTCTCCGCGTTCCCCTTCGCGTGAACTCCCCCGGCCCGGCCCGACCCTTCCCCCAGGTGGGGAAGAGACAAGGGGGCTCTAGTAACAAGAGCGGGGGGCGAAGCGGCCATGGGGGGCGGTCGGAGGATGGACCGGCCACGAGTGATAGGGACGAGCATCCGTGGAAGGTGCGGGGTTTTCATTCGGCTGGCTGTGCATACACCGAACCCGGGGGGGCGGGGGGCGAGGACTCAACCACTGTTGGTACGGAACTCGCTAGTACAACTCCATGGAAAAGGAAAACTCCTGGGAGTTGAGGAATTCACGCTCGAAACAACGAGAATGGTCCCTGCAATGGGACTTATATAATAGTCAATGTTGAGTAACCCCACAGACGGAATAAGAAGGATGAGAGTTTCTTGAGACGTGGCGCGTTCCTACACATGAGTAGTGTTTTTTTTATTTCTATTTTTCATCGATTTCGTCGTTGTTACGGTTGTCGACGCCGTCCTTGATGTTGTTTTGGACCGACCGACCGACCGACCAGCGTTCAAGTTTCTGCTTGTTCGGGTGCGAACTGCGTAAAACTCAGCTCTGCGGCGAGTTCTATGCTCGACCCTTCGTTGTAGGTTGTGCTCGACGTTGGCGACCAATCTAATCGTTTCCCGACTGCGTGCGGCCCCCCGACTGTACGGGACGCGGCGGAACGCCAAAAGGTTGGGTCTACGCTGGAGGTTATCACGTGGAACAGAACGGACCGGAAGTTCTGCGACATCGTTGAAACCGGTGAGTCTGGATACCCAGGGCGTTTATAATGTTTCCCCCCCGCACTTGTTGGACGTTTCCTTCGATTTGCCTCGTACTCGCATCTTACAAGCGAGCGTCCTCCCTTGAAGTATGCTCATTCATGCCACCGTTTTTTTCTCTTGCGTCTGTGGAATCCTTCCCCTCCTCTCTCTTCTTCTCTCCCTCTGTCTCTCCTCGCGCGCCTGTGCTTTTCTGATGACTCATAGCATGTCTCCGCATCTCCGTTAGCAACCCTGTCGTGGAACGAGCGCCGACGCGAGAGGACCCGTTTTTGTCTCCCTTTGCGCAATCAAGTTTTTCCTAACTTCAATAACTGGCTGCTTGTGCCAACCGACCGCAAGGTGATAAGAATGGCCCATCAACGAAAGTACTTGGTGTGGGAAAGAACGTCTACGGTATCATAACTCGACTGCTCTGCACGCTTTGGCATATGCCGTACACCAGCTTTTCACACCCTGGCTTACCCTTGACGAGGGCGCCACACGACAAGCTTGTTTTTTATATTCCTTTTGGTGTGTCGCCCGACTCATGTACCGGGCTCACACCTGCCTGCTTATGTATGTCTCTCACCGTCTTCCTTTTCTGCTACCTGACCTCGGCAAAACGGTTTGCGGCGGCGCAGCCCCCATCTCGGCCATGACGGACGACCCGGACCCTGCCAAGCGAACCAAGTACTACGTGCACTACCACGGGCTCAACAGACGGATGGACGAGTGGGTCGGGGCCGACCGGGTGACCAAGCCGCCATCGGTGGCTAAGGCGCAAGGTGAGCTATATGTGAAGCACGAACGCCTGCAACGATGTCTGTACAATTTTCGGGGGGTGATAAACAGAGAGAGAGGCATATGGCCAAGCTGCCACCGGCGGCCAAAGCGCGAGGTGAGACAAGAACAAGACCGCGTGCACCGTGCTTGTTTTTTTTTATGGGGGTGACGGTGATGGTAGCAGGGGCGGGGGGGGGGTACCATGCGACGAAGCCGAGGTGAGCTAAGGGTAAGAACGCCTGCGCCATGCCTGTTTATTTATTTTGGGGGGGGTAGGACCATGTGACCAATCGCTGTCGTAGGCGGCAAACGTGCAAGAAGAGACGACAGCACCACATTGTACCTACATGCTTGTGACGATTAGGGCATACTGATAGGGGAAGGGGACGACCGCGCGACTTCTGAACCTTCCGGTAACCCCGAACTGTGTCCTTTTGCCGGCGCAGCCAAGGCGCAGAAAGAAGAGACGGAGCGGGCCCGGAAAGAGTTCGAGCGGGACAATTCTGCGGAAGTTGACCTGGGGATTCGCACCCGTCAGCAGAAGCGAAAGGTACGGGTGTCTCGCCCTTACTCTCCGTCTCCTGTCTGCCGCGCGTCCTTGGGCGCATCGACAGTCGGCGTGCCCAGGAAACGGGGAGGGGGGGGGACAATGGGCGCCCGCCCTGTGCTTGTGTTGTCGGCTTTCTTCTTCAATTTTTGATGGCAGCAGTGGCGCCGCATTTCCATCCAACACGCGCCCACCTCTAGAGAGAAATTACACTCCCGCCTTGCTCGTAGGGTTGGTAGCGATAGTTCCGATTTGATTATGGTCTCGTCGTGACCTGGACCAGCTCGAGTGTTTACTGTAGAGGTACCAATTAATTTCGCACTGTCGTCGAGGCTGTGCCGAAAAATGAAATACGGAAGTTCCACATGTCCAGAAACTGAGACGGTTTCGACGGCAAGTCCATGGAAAGGTTTTCTTATTTTGATTTGCAGATGAGACATTCAGAACCAAAGTGCTTGCGCCTGCGGACGGGCTTCGAGGCGCATGGTGGGCATACCTTTTGCTTATTTATTTTTTTGTTCTGGCCGTTTCGACCGTCAATTGAACTTTTTTTCGGTGTCTTGAAGTTGGACGATTTGATGCTGTTGTTCCTTGGTCAACTTTTGACGAAACGTTAAAGGCTTCTTTCAACTCTTTTGTTCCCATGCCCGCACCCCTTATCCCGCCCCACTTGCTGTTATGCCATGGTATATAGATCGGAGACACGGAAGAAGAAGAGGTGGCCGGGGCGGGAGGCCTGGGGGGTCACGGCGGGCAGACGATGCATATGGACGACGATCACGATGAGCACCATGGTCTGGACGAGGCGTCTCTTAAGGAGCACGAGGAGGTCACCAAGGTCAAGGTGAGATACATAGATTAAAGAGAGATAGAAAAACTAAGCGCTCCCACCTGTTTTCTCTTGTGTTCAGTCAGAACCTAGGCGGCAACGTCGTCTCAATCAATGTCACCGAGGTCAAGGTGAGATACATGGATAGATTGATGGACATATGCCCGGACTCAGAGTCTAGACGGATGAACACGGGAGGTCACCAAGGTCAAGGTGCGAGAGAGAGATGGATGGATAAACGTAGCGCTCTCGCTTGTCTTCTTTTGAGTTCAGTCAGGGTCTAGGCGGCAGCGTCGTCTCAATTAACGTCACCAAGGTCAAGGTGACATAGATAGATGGAAAAAGATGGTGGAAATGCTCAGCAAGATCGGCCGTTACCGGCGAGCGTCTGTGCGTGCTAATATAGTGTGTTACTCTCCCACCCAACCGAATCGTTTTGATTCGAGGAGACAATAAAAAGTTTGAGTGAAACGTATGAAGGGAGAGGTTTCTTGTCCAAAGTCGTCACCGAGCAAAGAGTGAAAGTCGAAGAACACAGTATTGAAATGCAACTTAAATCTCAAAGAATTGAATCGAATCGAATCAAACGTGAAGCTCGAAGAATGATGCATCGAAGCTCGAAGAAATGAGGATCGAAATCAAATGTGAAGCTCCAAGAACTAAATATTTTGTGCATACTGCAGAACGTGAACGGGGTCGAGCTCGGGCGATACCGGATGGAGTGCTGGTACTTCTCCCCCTTCCCCAAAGAGTTCTACCCGGATGGCTACGTGGACACCCTCTATTTCTGCGAGTACACTCTCAGGTGACTCAGATGTTTTTTCGTTCGGGGGGATGTAGTGTGTAATAGCGGTCCCGGTATACCGCGGTCCACAGTAGTGCGGGTCGTCCCGGTACACAGCGGTAAAAAGATGGCTTGTTACGGGATTTGGCTACCATACTAAGAGCTATATATTCCCCCAACACTCAATAGTGAGGTGCCCCGATATACCGTGGTGATTTTTGTGTGTCACTACACCGCGGTACGGTATATCGGGACCACCACTGTATCCGGAACGGACAGCGAGCACTTTCCTTGTCATGCCGCCTCCGAGTGTGAATGAACTCCTATATTTGGACAGGATTCACAATGACGAAACGGCGCTTCTGCGATGCCTGCACGTCTAACGGCGAACTGGCGCTGCCGCGGTCACTCAACTAGTGCTGATGGCTAGCGATACTATTGCTGTTGTATCATTAATTCCCTTCGTCGATGCTGTTCGATTTGGACGTAATTGCCGTAGGCGGGATTGTGGTCGTCGCTATTTATTCTGGTACACACTGTCGTTGAGCTGGATACATTTTGTTGTGTTGCTGGATACCAACTTTTTTTTTCTCCTATCGTATCGGTGCCGCCCAGATACTTCCGTCACAAGAAGGAGCTTCTTCGGTTTCAGAGGAAGCAGAAACCGCCCCGACACCCTCCGGGCAACGAGGCAAGCTTCAGAGCAAAACAATCTAGATATTCCGAGTTTTCTCTTTTACCTGAAGGAGGGCTGAGATTTCTTGGGCGATGATATGCTACTGGAAACGGCGCGACCTTGTCGTCGGCACTGCTGCGGTTGTACCCCTCCTACCCTTTCCCCCTAAACGTCGGTGCCTAGCATCGCCGAATTTCGGTGTCTAGTATCACCCTACGTTCTCGTGTGCATCGTATGCATAGTTACCTTCTGCCGAAAGCCCCATGTGGTTTGCACTGTCCACGTCCGCCAAGTCCTCTGCCCGCCTCGCTGCTCGGCTCTGGGTGCCCACCTTTAGTCACCCCCCCCCCTATTCCCCCCCCCCCCGGTGTTTGCCACCGGGGTTGGGTTTTCGTCGCTTGGCAACGACGCTGTAAAACAAGCCGCCCCCCCCGGTGTTTTGCCGTCGGGATTGGGTTTTCGTCGTTTGGCAACGACGTTGTGAAACAAGCCAATTCACTTCGTGAACTCGGCAACCAGGTTACCGTTTCTTTTTTTTTTACTTCTGTTTTTTTTTTTGCGGTAACCATAATGGTGGTCGAGTAGATCATGTTGTGCCGGGTGGAGAACCCTCACTCCGCGCAAGGGGGATGATCGCAGCACGTTGTGTTAAAATGGTTAAGCATCCTCGAGGCAGTTACACTGTGCTTACAGCTGTCTCTGGAAGTGAACGCACCAGAAAATAAATTAAGTCATACGCAGCTGTCATCCGTACGCAAGGAAGTAAGCACAAGATGCCGAACACCCTTAGCAGGATGCAGCTCACCCTTCATGCGACTCGCCGAATACCTCACGGCGCTTCGCGCTTGGTGGTGTGAGAGCCTGGTCCGGTGAGAACCCGGCGTGCTCCGTCTCGGCTTTGCAGGGATGCGAGGTCAATGGTCTAACGACTACGACATGCACGACTATGAGTACACCCCCCCCCTATACCTCACCGCGCTTCGCGCTTGGTGATGCGATGTCATAGCCTGGTCCGGTGAGAACTCATCGTGCCCAGTCCCGGCTCTGTTGGGATGCGAGGTCAATGGTCTAACGACTACGGCATGCACGACTATGAGTACACCCCCCCCCCTCGTTCTCATAATGTCTCCATCATGGTGTGTCTTTGTGTACGAATACCCGTTTTGTATGTACATTTTGGGTTTGTTCCGCTTCGGGACTTTACGACCCGTAGCAGACGGCTCACCACCAACCCGCAAACCGGCGGAAACCAAGAGGATTGTCCCGTCGTTTCTCTTCGTTTTGGTGTATGTTTCTTTTTTGGCCTATTTCGCCTTTGCTCGTCTCCCTCCTTCCTTCGTATCGTTTCCCTCCTTCCTTCGTATCGTTTCCCTCCTTCCTTCGTAACTCTCTTGTTTTCGTGGTCTCTTTTGATATGTTTACAAACTCCATCCACATGGTTTTTTTTTGATCTGTTTACAAACTCCATCCACATGGTAAGCCTTTTTTATTTTTTTTTGCGTTGTTTTGCTTTTGTGTGGGGGTTTTTTTTGTCCCTCCCATTGTCCTTGCCCCCCCCCCCCCTTCCGTCGGTGCTGGAGAGAGCAGATCTACCGCAACGGCAACCTTGCCATGTTCGAGGTGGACGGGGGGGAACAGAAGGAGTACGGCCAGAACCTGTGCTCCCTGGCCAAGCTATTCTTGGACCACAAGACCTTGTACTACGACGTCGATCCCTTCCTCTTCTACGTCTTGTGCGAGGTCAGTCCGCGTTGATGCAATTCTTGCTGTTGCTGCTGTCGTCTTCGTCGTCGTTGCCGTCGTCGTTGTTGTCGTCGCCGTCTGTTGTTTGTTGGTGTTGCTCATGCTGCTGCTGTGTGTTGGTTGGTGTGGTTCTTGTTCTTGATCTTGGTGTTAATAGTTGTTGTGGTCGTTCGGTGACCGCCCCGCGTATGAGTGAGCGAGCGAGTGAATGGACGAGTCGGGGGGGGGGGGGGGGGGGGGGGGACCCCAAACCGGGGAGGCCGGAATCTTTAAACAATTTAC